ATGACGAACATAAACAAAACACACGTGTACTCCCAGCCATTGACAGAAACGAAAACAAAGAGCTCATGTTCAGAAGTCGCAACACGCATGCGCAACCGCGCGAGAGCATGCTGCTTCAAGGGGGAACCGTGACAATTGTATTTGTATAGTATTGTGATATATTTGTATTTGTATAGTATTGTGATGTATAGTATTGTATTTGTATAGTATTGTGATGTATAGTATTGTGATATATAGTATTGTATTTGTATAGTATTGTGATGTATTTGTATTTGTATAGTATTGTGATGTATTGTATTGTATTTGTATAGTATTATGGTGTATAGTATTGTGATGTATTGTGATGCATAGTATTGTGATGTATAGTATTTTATTTGTATAGTATTGTGATGTATAGTATTGTGATATATAGTATTGTATTTGTATAGTATTGTGATGTATTTGTATTTGTATAGTATTGTGATGTATTGTATTGTATTTGTATAGTATTATGGTGTATAGTATTGTGATGTATTGTGATGCATAGTATTGTGATGTATAGTATTTTATTTGTATAGTATTGTGATGTATTGTATTGTATTTGTATAGTATTGTGGTGTATTGTGATGTATAGTATTGTGTTTGTATAGTATTGTGATTGTGCCACCATGATGCCATAATTCAAACAAACATGCTTAAATAAAAAATATGCTAAACACCCAATAAGAAGGCAATATAAAATATACAGTAGAAGTAAATGTAAAAAGTGTAAGTGTCCATTGACTAAAATCAATATTTTACTGTGTAATATTTTCAGATTATTACTTTTAAAACTGCACAAGCTTATAATAAGGATATTTAGTTACACTTTATAATAACAGTACATGAATAATCATGCACTAATACCTGAATTAATACTTACTTAATTATTAAATAATGATGTTTTAATGAATGTACTAATCATGAACTAATGAAGAGCTATGACATGAGTCGTGAATAATGACCACCTTAGGGATTTTTTACAATGGCTACAACCCATTTCTCAATACCTAAGTCACATTTTCAAAACTCTTGACACAGTGAGCACAACAGAAGTTTTTGTGAGCTAAACTGTGGATCATTCTTCATTGCTTTAGTACGAAATGCATTCCGTGACTACATCTTTCAAATGATGAATGTGTTTCTCACGTAAACTGGCAGCTGTGGATCAGGTGGTAGAGTGGGTTTTCCACTAATCGTAGGGTTGGCGGTTCGATTCCCGGCCCACATGACTCCACGTGCCGAAGTGTCCTTGGGAAAGACACTGAACCCCAAGTTGCTCCCGATGGCAAGTTAGCGCCTTGCGTGGAGCTCTGCTACCGTTGGTGTGAGAGTGTTTTAGTGTGTGCGTGTGAATCGGTGAATGTTACACAGTGTAAAGTGCTTTGGATAAAAGTGCTATATAAGTGCAGACCATTTAATCACAACCGTCAGCAAAACTCTACGCACCTACAGGCCAATTTGTTACATACTCTTTCCAAAACTTTAACGCAAAACCCAACACAAAACTGAATAAGACAGCAAATTGCTACATTTCTATAGAAATACGCTATTGAAAAATATTCCAAAACTAAAATAAAGAAGTGTTATCAAAATGATTAGACCAACCACAGCTGATTCCCATTGTAGCTGAACACCTACTGAGGTGTTAGTCTTTCAAATTCATTACCATTTATACAAAAGGGGACACTTAAGGAATAATTTTACAGTAATGCAAACATGGATCCAGACAGAGATAAAAGATCTAAAAGAGGAAGAAGACCGGCTGGGAGACAGAGACGGAGAGGAGTTCGTATGCTTGGTGAAAGAAAGAAGACTGAAAGGAAGATCAAGAGCTGTAATCTCAGATCAGATTAGGGCTACTGTAATTGATCATGTAATAAACCATCGTCTGTCGATGAGAGAAGCTGGTCTGAGAGTGCAGCCAAATCTGCAATGCTCAACAGTGGCATCTATTAAAAGAACTGTCCAACAAAACAACAGGTAAGATGTGCATTCTGCAAGGGCATGTGACAGAACGGCACTTTTCTTTTTTAAGTACATCGAGCAAATCCTCCAAACCCACTCGTGTGTAATTGTTTTTGATATTCTGCTTAGGACCCAATGGGTCTTTCTATGTTCGATAAGGAGGATGTAAGTAATCAGGCAACATCCAAAGATGTTTGTGTATGCACTTGCATATGACAAATTATATTAGCACTTTGAAATTATGCACATTTAATTCATATTGTTTCTTGTAGAGCATGTTTCATTTCGTTTACCCCTATGTGTTAATAAATACATTAACTAAGAAACGCTTACTAACATGGACTTAAGGTGGTCGTTTTTTCAACCCCTTATCAATAAACAGTGAGGAGAACTATTCCACTATTCCACCCAGCCCGTTCTTAACAACCCTGTGTGTGTACATGTGTGTGCCTGTAACAATATGTTTCTCCATGTGTTTGTCTTTTATTTAAACTGATCCTGCACTGCGTATGTTCATGTCCTAATTGAATTACTCAGCCTCAGGTCCCAGCATTCCTCAAGCCCCGGTTCTGTCACAGCAAAATGTGTGTTTGTGTGTGTGTGTGTGTGTGTGTGTGTGTGTTGCCATTGCTCTCGTTGTGCCATGCTGTCACCTCGGATCACTCGCTGGCTTCTCGCACAGCGTCCAGGGTTCCAAAGGTGCAGCCCTCTAAAATAAGTACAGGGCCAAATGGTGCAGGAGGAGACACAGTACAGATACGGTCAGGTTAATAGAGACAGAATATGGATCCGAAAAAGCCATATTGGTGCCTTGAGTTAAAAAAAAAAAAAGAAAAAGCCAGAGCTGAGATAATGCACACAATTCCATGAAGTGATAAGACTCGTCATTTGGCTTTTTTTTTGTTCTTTCACACAGAAAAAAAGTCCCCCAAGATCACGTCTTATCAGGCTGCCACTTAAATCTAGCAATCTCTGCATGGAGTAGCAGTCAAGAAGCACAAAACGCAAAAGATGGACTCAATGAAGCGGAACAGTTGTAGTTCTCAGTGTTGGAATGGAAAAATAGATGGAAATAAATGATATGAATCTGTAAAGTGTTAAAAATGTTCCAAATATATATTCCCTCCATATAAAGAACTTTAAAAAAAATGATTAAACTTGTACAGTTTGATTTATTGCCGTTGTGCATTATTCCACTGAGAATTGTGTTCATGTGCTACTTGTGAGAAGACCAGAATGACCTCATGAGATTAGGCTTAATAAATACACAGATCTGCCATAACGGGTGAATGAATCAATGAATAACATTGATTATCTCGTTAGAATGGGACCTTTCAAGAGGTGGGATATATTAGGCAGCAAGTGAAGTTCTCAATGTTGATGTGAGGAAAAATGGCCTAAGGATCTGAGTGACTTTGGCATGACCACATTTTGATGGCTAGACGACCGGGTCGGAGCATCTCCAAAATTGCAGCTCTTGTGGGTGTTCCCAGAATGCAATGGTTAGCCTGGTCTGTTGAATCACATTTTCTTTAAAAAATAATGTGGAAGGCTGGGTGCCTGTATGTCACTTACCTGGGGAAGGGGAAGCATTCCCAGCAAACTAGGGGCACAAGGCAGTGAACACCCTGGATTGGGTACTAACCCATCACAGCCTACAATGCATGTATTTGGACTGGGAGTGGGAACCGGAGCACCAAAGGAAACCCCCGAAGTACATGCAAACATGCCAAATCCACACACAGAGGTCAGAGGCAGGATTCAAACCCCCAACCCCAGAGGTGCAAGGCAAACATACTAACCACTAAGCCACCATCAAACTTTATAGAAATATTTTAGGGGTGAACAATGTACCATTGATGTTACAGTCAGGAACCGATTCACATCTTAGACCATGAAGCTAATAGAAATTCCTGTTTGGTAAAAAGGAGTTTTTGCTAGCTTTGATTTTGTATCCTTGTACAATAATTAACAAGGCATTGCTGGAATGTACATTTTATTCTAAAAGAATTTAGGGAAAGGACAAGGATTAAAACTCATTCTGAGCTCATATTCTGGCATTTAAGAAGAACACAAGCTGTGCTGTGATGTTGCTTGCTGAGGGATCTGTACAAAGATGTGCAGGAACCGATGTCCTTGTGTGATGCATTCAGACACAGGATTCAATATTGTTCTTCACTTTCCAAGCTTCTGAATTGTTACCTCTGGGTTTCTACGGCAACTGCTAGCAAAGGACATTGAGATGAGACGGTCTTGAGTGAGCTGGTCCCATAAGACTGATAGACTGTGCAGAAATGTCTTCATTCCAGCCTGACATATCTCCTTCAGTCAGGCACACTGAGGGCTTGGAATGTCAGAGATCTGCCATGCTCACAGGCACTCCATATGACACCTCGGGTTTAGCTGATAAAGGAAAAGAATGTCTTGCTACATATCTATAAAATGAAGATGTAACGTAAATACCTTTCAAATTACGGAAGCAATGGCTTTGATTACTAAATTAAAATGTGTATCAAAGAGAACATGTCTCACCAGCAACTTGCAACTAATTAATTTGTATAAGCTCACAGTTTTTATAGATCTCAGCAATCAAGTAATGATCTTCATTTCTGGAGATATTTCTGACCTTGGGGTCCAGTCACAATCTGGTTAACTTTCAGGTCACATCATTATAGAACATTTTTATCTCAAAAAGGAAAAGAAAAAGATTTAAGAAGAGATAAACATCGGGTTCAACCACTGAACCAGCTCTAAACAAGAACATTACTCTGCTTTTATCAGCCTATTTAAACACTTGGGATGATGTAGCAAAACTAGTCAAGGGAGGTGACACAAGAGCGGAAGACTGCGGTCTTCCACAAAGATGCTTTTTGACAAAGAATTGTGTTATTTCAGAATTCATTTACATTTTACATTTACGACATATAGCCTTATCCAAAGTGACTTACATCTCGTTTATACAGGTGAGCAATTGAGAGTTAAGGGCCTTGCTCAAGGGCCCAACAGTGGTACCTAGACAGTGCTGAGGTTTGAACTCCTGACCTTTTGATCAGTAACCCAGCGCCTTTAACCACTGAGCCACCACTGGCTGATTCAAGAATTGTGTTCTTTCAGAACTCTTTCAGAAGCACTCAGAAAGAATTGTGTCCTGTATTAAGCAAGCTGGGAAATAATTTCACATTTAAATTTATATATACTAAGGTTGCAACACAAAATGCATTATAGGCAGCTGTATTTGTCCCAAACTGGGAATATTCTGACTATTTTTCAAACTACCATTTATTCCCACCAGAAATACTGGAAAACCAGAAGAGGCATAAATTCCAGGACTGTCAAAATGGAATGTGAATTCTCCTCACTCAATTGTCCTTATAAACCTAGTTTATAATTTGTCTCAACTAGGGATGTGCTTGGGAATTCTTTTAACCCTGCTTATGCAGTTATATTTTTGTTTGTACCTACACACACAAATGTCTAACAACATTGGCAGTGTCTGCCATGTCAAGCTAAAAAGTGAAATGGAAATTGGGTCCATCCATCCTTCCATTAATTTTCCATACCACTTATCCTACACAGGGTCACAGGGGAATCTGGAGCCTATCCCGTGGATCTCGAGGCATAAGGCAGGGGACACACTGCACAGGGTGCCAACCCATCGCAGGGCTCAACCACACATACATACATACATACATACATACATACATACATACATACATATATACATACATACATACACTGTGGACAATTTGGAAATGCAAATCAACCTACAATGTGGAACCATTATGCACTATGGGAAACAGGCAAATGTGATGCACTCTGCAAATGACAGTGGCCTCTTTCAGCAGCATAATGTGCCTGACACACTGCAAAAATTGTTCAGGAATGGTTTGAGGAACATGACAAAGAGTGCAAGGTGTTGACTTGACTTCCAAATTACAAATTCCCTAGATCTCAATCCAATCGAGGATCCGTGGGATGTGCTAGACAAACATGTCCGATCCATGGATGGCCCACCTTGCAACTTACAGGACTTAAAGGATCTGCTTTTTAATGTATTGGTGCCAGATACCACAGCACACCTTCAGAGGTCTTGTGGAGTCCATGTCTTGAAGAGTCAGAGCTGTTTTAGTGGCACATGGGGAAGCTACACTATATTCAGGTGATTTTAATGTTCTTGCTGATCGGTGTGTCAGGAAATAATGAAGGGCATACATTAACAGTCTCTGAGGCATTATATGGATATCCATTAATCCATTACAGTGAGGAAAGAAGTATTTGATCCCCTGCTGATTTTGTACGTTTGCCCACTGACAAAGAAATGATCAGTCTATCATTTTAATGGTAGGTTTATTTGAACAGTGAGAGACAGAATAACAACAAGAAAATCCAGAATAACTCATGTCAAAAATGTTATAAATTGACTTGCATTTTAAAGAGGGAGATATGTATTTGACCCCCTCTCAATCAGAAAGATTTCTGGATCCCAGGTGTCTTTTATGCAGGTAACGAGCTGAGATTAGAAGCACACTCTTAAAGGGAGTGCTCCTAATCTCAGCTTGTTTACCTGTATAAAAGACACCTGTCCACAGAAGTAATCAATCAATCAGATTCCAAACTCTCCACCATGGCCAAGACCAAAGAGCTCTCCAAGGATGTCAGGGACAAGATGGTAGACCTACACAAGTATGGAATGGGCTACAAGACCATTGCCAAGCAGCTTGGTGAGAAGGTGACAACAGTTGGTGCGATTATTTGCAAATGGAAGAAACACAAAGAACTGTCAATCTCCCTCGGACTGGGGCTCCATGCAAGATCTCACCTCGTGGAGTTCCAATGATCATGAGAACAGTGAGGAATCACCCCAGAACTACACGGGAGGATCTTGTCAATGATCTCAAGGCAGCTGGGACCATAGTCACCAAGAAAACAATTGGTAACACACTACACTGTGAAGGACTGAAATCCTGCAGCGCCCACAAGGTCCCCCTGCTCAAGAAAGCACATATACATGCCCATCTGAAGTTTGCCAATGAATATCTGAATGATTCAGAGGACAACTGGGTGAAAGTGTTGTGGTCAGATGAGATCAAAATGGAGCTCTTTGGCATCAACTCAACTCGCCGTGTTTGGAGGAGGAGGAATGCTGCCTATGACCCCAAGAACACCATCCCCACCGTCAAACATGGAGATGGAAACATTATGCTTTGGGGGTGTTTTTCTGCTAAGGGGACAGGACAACTTCACCGTATCAAAGGGACGATGGACGGGGCCATGTACCGTCTTATCTTGGGTGAGAACCTCCTTCTCTCAGTCAGAGCATTGAAAATGGGTCGTGGATGGGTATTCCAGCATGACCCAAAACACATGGCCAAGGCAACAAAGGAATGGCTCGAGAAGAAGCACATTAAGGTCCTGGAGTGGCCTAGCCAGTCTCCAGACCTTAATATCATAGAAAATCTGTGGAGGGAGCTGAAGGTTCGAGTTGCCAAACATCAGCCTCGAAACCTTAATGACTTGGAGAAGATCTGCAAAGAGGAGTGGGACAAAATCCCTCCTGAGATGTGTGCAAACCTGGTGGCCAACTACAAGAAACGTCTGACCTCTGTGATTGCCAACAAGGTTTTTGCCACCAAATACTAAGTCATGTTTTGCAGAGGGGTCAAATACTTATTTCCCCTCATTAAAATGCAAATCAATTTATAACATTTTTGATGTGTTGTTCTGGATTTTCTTGTTGTTATTCTGTCTCTCACTGTTCAAATAAATCAAATACTTCTTTCCCTCACTGTAACTAGTTCAATATTAACATGCTAATAGACAGTTGGATATTGGAAAAATGTCAACTGGTCTTATTCCAATCTTCAACTGTACAGTTTCAGCACACATGTGCCCACTGTAGCCTCAGATTCTTGTTTTTGGCTGACAGCAGTGGAACTCTATGTGGCCTTTGACGTGTTGAGTATTCTGAGATGCTTTTCTGTTCATCATGGTTGTAAAGAGTGGCTATTTGAGTTTCTGTAGCCTTCCTGTCAGTTTGCCCTAACCTGGTCAGACTTCTCCTCTGGTCAGTCACATCAACAAGGTGTTTCCACCTGCAGAGCCAGCATTCACTGGATAATTTTTGGTCTTTGCACCATCCTGTCTCAACTCTAGACACTCTAGACACATCCCAGGAGATCAACAGTCTCTGAAAAACCAACAATCAACCAACAATCATACTAATCCCTAAGAGTACATCCCCCCTTTAGATGTTTGATGTGAACATTACCAGAAGTTTGATCTGTATTTGCATGATTTTATGCAATGTGGTGCAGCCACATGATTGGCTGATTAGATAAGTGCATGAATGAGCAGGTGTACAGATGTTCTTATGAAAGTGGACAGTCAGTCTGTATGACTCAAAGGCTGTTAATATATGCACTCATTATCTGCTGATGCGCTACGGATTAGTCCACATATTAATTCATCCTTATGAAAGCATTAGTTAAGTATTAATGTATTCTTATTTCTGGACCTTCTAGCAATAGATGCAAAAAGTAATGCATGTGTTTGTGCTCTAATTCATCTGGACGTTATTTGCATACCATCATGAATAAGGCAATCTAATCTCATACATATTGAATATGTAGCTACAATCTGCAGATGCACTTAAATGATGCGAGGATTATAGGATCTCCATTTTTCAGATCCAGATAAGCTGTAGAGAGAATGGCAGAAAATATGGGGAGGCGTTGATGGTGTTCTTTTCGCATATTTTCAGAGGATTAGAGAGTATTAAAGGAATACTCCAACACTTTCTTATCTAATCTCATCAAATTCACCAAATCTGCATCATATATGTATTTATATGATTACAGCAGACTAAAAAATCTTTATACTGAGAAAGGAACAGGACACCAGTTGACGTAAAACTCACTTGGAAGCATAAGGGCAGATGTTGACTTCAGGTGTTAAATCTATGACTGTGAAATGTGAATTCCATCTCTGAAAGGACAAATTAAAGAGACTTTAGGATTAATTTACAAAGAACAATGTCTTCCGAGGGAAAGCATTCATTCTTATGATTTCAAGAGACCGGACAGCCATCCATGGCCGGGAGTCCAAAAGAGAAGAATTGGCTGTGCTCTCTGGGAGAGAGAGGCTTTACAGTTTGCCCTGTCAATTAGAGTGACACTAACCAATAGTTGGTAGTTGTCATGATATAGGGGAGAACTAGCTAGTGGGTGCAAACTGGCAAAATCACTGAACTGGGAGACTTCTGAAAAGTTCTACACAAAACATGTTTCATATAAATATTTTTGAAGGAATTGAGCAACTGCCCTAAGTTTTTAATGAAAACACTTTCCTTAAACTGTTTTTTTGTTGTTGTTGTTGTTGTTCTTTCATCAGCAAAGAGAAACACCCATGTAGTACTCACCCATACAGCTATTGCTAGATAGAGATTAGGTTAAAGGAACAATCATGGTCTGTGAGGTCATAATATCCATCCATCCATTTTTCATACCACTCATCCTAACGAGGGTCATGGGGGAGCCTGGGGCCTATTCCAGGAAACTAGGGAGACATGGCTGGGGACACCATAGATGGGGTACCAACCCATCACAGGGCACAATTGCACACACATTCACACACTACAGACAATTTGGACATGTTAATCATCCTACAACTCGTGTCTTTGGACTGGGAAGGGGAACCGGAGTACCAGGGGAAACCCCTCAAGCATGGGGAGAACATGCAAACTCCACAGACAGAGGGCAGAGGCAGCAATCAAACCCCCAACCCCAGAGGTGCAAGGCAAACATGCTAATCACTAAGCCACCATCAACTTTATTGAAATTTCTCAGCGTGTACTGTATGTGAGTATGCAGATTGGTATCACATGATGTTGATACTGCAATGGGTGTGAAGTCAGGAACCGATTCACATCTTAGACCATGAAGCTAATAGAAATTCCTGTTTGGTAAAAAGGAGTTTTTGCTAGCTTTGATTTTGTATCCTTGTACAATAATTAACAAGGCATTGCTGGAATGTACATTTTATTCTAAAAGAATTTAGGGAAAGGACATGGATTAAAACTAATTCTGAGCTC